ATGCGGTCTTTTGTTCCGGGTGCCCTCCAGCTGCCATCAAAAGATTTGACGTCACTTCTTACCGATGTTGAGAGCGCCATAACGGAAAGAACAAGGGACAACGTAGTGTTTGGAGACCTGTTTTGGTGCATTGTCAAAGATTTGACACAAGGACACAGCCTTGCACAAGTCGGATGTGGTGTTCATTCTGAAGAGCTCTCTGCACGCATCATAAAGTTTTACCTGGTCACCCGCATGCATTTTTATGCAAGGTTCCTACGGCAACACAGACACAAGTGTGCAAGTTAAAGTTGCCAGGAAGCGTGCTAAGCTTTTGTGAATACCCGTTTGAAAAAATGTGCTTTCTCTGGACTGCAGCAATGCAAACAATTGCTGGGATGTTGCTTTCCTGGACCAGTTTGTTATTCAGTGTTGTGGACCGGTTTGCTAAAACATCTTGTACAGTACTGTTGGTCAGTGTGGTCTGAAATGGAAGACCAGTGCATTTATGAATAAACCGCTGAACGAAAGCTGTTTACCTTGTTAACTTTTAATTCGTGCTAAATTGCTAGTTGCAGTGGTCATTCTGTGCCTGCCAAGATGCATGAATAAGCGTTTACTTTGCATGTGATTTGGCCCTGCGAAGAAAAACCCCTATAGACTATTAGCCATTTTATTCCAAATCACGAATGAGAAGCAGTGGGAGGCCGCGCTGCTCAGCACAGACCCGCTTACGCAGGCCTTGTGTCACTAGCCCAGATGGCCGAAGACGCCGCTGGGAACTAAACGAATCCTACCATCGCCGGTAGATAAAACGGTCCCCCCCCCCCCCCGCGTCATGATTACGGGCAGGGGGATGCCACCTCTTATTTCCGCATGAATCGGACGCAATACTAATGCAGCATGTGCGTTCTCTCTCAACGGCGCATTTTCGGATAGTAAAAAAAGCAGGGCATGCGCAAAAGCAGCGAAACGACAAATGGTTTTCGGCAGCTTCGAACTCGTTACTCGAAAGCATGTCGCGCTGCATGCTTTGATACAAGTATAAAAGGAGCTTCAGTGGCTAGGATGTGTTGCAGTGATATTTTTGTAGTTTTCCATCTGGTTACGCGTGAAGAAACGCGCTAATTCGGCGCCCGTATAGCGCCTAGCAGGCGCAGCAGCTGAGAAAGCTGGATCTCGATGAAACGCTCCCGCCATCTGTCGGACAAACTGAAAGTGGAGACACCGGCGAAGCCCGGCGTCGGCGGAGAGTTTGGCAACTGAACCTAGTCTAGTAACGTTGAGGAAAGGGCATGCCCAGCCGGCGCAGGGCGTAAAAAATGTGGCGGAAATGACATCATGGCGGCCATATTCAGTAGGCACAATGGCGGCGTTGTTATGGTTACGTGTTGCGCAGTGAAGCTGGTCTAGCAGTGAGCGGCCGCGGCTGGCGGCGGAATGTGTGCCTCCCCAGGTCTCGTGCTGAGCCGTGGCGGACAATATCTGTGCTCTGCGCCGCGTTATTGGTTACGCAGTGTTCGTCTGGCTGTTACATTACTCTTAGCAACGTTTACAAATCCCTTTGTCCATCACGGGGTTTCAACAGTGCGTAGAACAAGTGCATATCCATGTGTCGTGCGGCGGATGACGCGGATGAAGCAGTTAGTGTTCAGCGAAATGGCGTTGGGCACCATGACGAAGCTGAATGACGACGAACGCCTTGCAGGTCAGTGACGGTTGAGCAGTGCTCCTGCTTGTGACAACGAACGACGCTGTTGAGCCCAGCAAGACGCCGTGAGGACCATGTGCACATTAGTTTCGTGTTGTGTGTGTACAGTAACAACTTGCATGTGCGTATTAAAACACCTTTTCTGTTCCGCTTGGTACACTCTCCACCAGCATTGCATGTAATCTCAACGTAACAGCAACCACGTTCAACTGTCACTAGCACCGTGCTCAAAGTCACCACGGTCGCAGAATGCTGACGCAGGTGAGTTCCACGCGGAACACGGACACAGTGGCAGGACGCTGCGTCAGTCGCGTGGCGGAATACAACCGTAGAAGGCGCACGACCGATCGTGTTGTCTGTACAGTTGCTGAATTAATGACGTGAAAGCACTCGCCGTTGTCAGTGCATCTAGCGCGCGTTATTTCGTAGTTGCTTCGTTGTCAGCGAGCTGTTACTCTCCGTGGTACTCCTCCGTGGTACGGAGGAAGAAAAAGGTAAGGAGAGGCCCTGACGTCACTCGTTGTGAAGCCGCGATGAAGCCGGAAGTCGGCCATATTGAGTAGGCAAATTCTCCTCTCTTGTTTACATATGAATGCGAAGCAGAAGGCGCGACTCCCTCTCCGGCTCGGAAAGCACGTGGGCTGCGCAGCGCGTGTGTCGTGACGATCCGAAACTAATGGAACTGGGCTCATCACTCAGAGCCAGCGGGACACCTTCAGCGAAATCGCTTCGTCCGAGTAATAACAAAGAGTAACAGCTCGCTGACAACGAAGCAACTACGAAAGAACGCGCGCTAGATGCACTGACAACGGCGAGTGCTTTCACGTCATTAATTCAGCAACTGTACAGACAACACGATCGGTCGTGCGCCTTCTACGGTTGCATTCCGCCACGCGACTGACGCAGCGTCCTGCCACTATGTCCGTGTTCCGCGTGAAACTCACCTGCGTCAGCATTCTGCGACCGTGGTGATTTTGAGCACGGTGCTAGTGACAGTTGAACGTGGTTGCTGTTACGTTGAGATTACATGCAATGCTGGTGGAGAGTGTACCAAGCGGAACAGAAAATGTGTTTTAATACGCACATGCAAGTTGTTACTGTACACACGAAACTACGTATGTGCACATGGTCCTCACGGCGTTTTGCTGGGCTCAACAGCGTCGTTCGTTGTCACAAGCAGGAGCACTGCTCAACCGTCACTGACCTGCAAGGCGTTCGTCGTCATTCAGCTTCGTCATGGTGCCCAACGCCATTTCGCTGAACACTAACTGCGTCACACGACACATGGATATGCACTTGTTCTACGCACTGTTGGAACCCCGTGATGGACAAAGAGATTTGTAAAACGTTGCTAAGAGTAATGTAACAGCCAGACGAACACTGCGTAACCAATAACGCGGCGCAGAGCTAAGATATTGTCCGCCACGGCTCATCACGAGCCCTGGGGCGGCACACATTCCGCCGCCAGCCGCGGCCGCTCACTGCTAGACCAGCTTCACTGCGCAACACGTAACCATAACAACGCCGCTATTGTGCCTACTGACTATGGCCGCCGTGATGTCATTTCCGCCACATTTTTTACGCCCTGCCCCGGCTGGGCATGCCCTCTCCTTAACTTTTTCCTTCCTCCGTGGTGGGTACACTAGAAAAAGGCGCACATGAAGGCTCCCTTTAGGGTGGATGGATGGATAGGGCTGTACGGTACCCTTTAGTTTGGGTGGTGGCTAGCGCTACCAAGCCATAATACGCCACCAAGCCGTTAGGATAGATAAGTGGATGGATGAACATGGCTGTACCCTTTAGATTGGGCGGTGGCTAGCGCCACCAAGCCGTAATACTTAATGAACCAAAAACTAGATTTAAATTTTTTCTTTAAAAAGTGAGTTTGAGGATTTGTACTTTGCAGTGAAGAGTTTAATTTTCAGTCGTGCCTTGACTTTAGCCACCAATCAGATAACCTCCTTCTAGTTAAGTCTACCCGCTTAAAGTCTATTTTGCACTCCCGGTCCCTAAACCCCAGTGCTTTGAAAAACTCTGCGCCATCATCCTGAACTATAGGGTGAAACCCTTTACAGAACATTATCAAGTGTTCGGCAGTTTCTTCTTCCTCTCCACACGCACTGCATACCGTGTCTACCCCTTCGTATTTGGCCCGATATGTCTTGGTTCGCAGAACTCCCGTCCTGGCTTCAAACAGTAGAGAACTACCCCGAGTATTATCATAGATCCTTTCCTTGGCAATTTTCTGCTTAAATGTTCGACAGATCTCTAGTGCGGACTTCTTAATCATGCCCATTATCCACATATCAGTCTCCGTTTCCTTCACTTTCTTCTTAACCGATAGTTCTTTTTGGTTTGGCCACCTGCTGTTTTCTAAGTATTTACCAGTAAATTTCCTGGTTCTTGAACTTCTGATCTCATGCACAAGACCGCATTGCCGAACGTCAGACCAGGAACCATGACCCCTTTCTATATTCCTCTCACAACCTCATAACTATTGTAATTCCACAGTGTCTTGTTTTTTTTTATCACCGCTGCATTCCTGTTACCTTTAGTCGTCACGTATATTTTGTGTTCCTTTAGGTACTCGCCCCATTGCTTATCCATACGCCCAGATATTTGTATTTATCTGTTATCTCTAGCGTGATGTGCTGTATTCTAACCTCACTACCTTCGTTACCATTAAAAATCATGACTGCTGATTTTTCCTTACTGAATCTGAAATATAACCTATCTCCCCCATTATCGCAGATGTCCATCAATCTCTGCAAATCTTCCTTGTTGTTGGCCATTAGCACTATATCATCTGCGTAATGTAATGCTGGTAGTGCCTGATCAATAAGTTTTCCTTTTTTGACTAAAGAGAGGTTGAAGCCCAATCCACTTCCCTCTAATTTGGCCTCTAATCCTTGTAGGTACATCATGAATAACAAGGGGGACAGCGGACACCCCTGCCTAAGCCCCAGTTTTACCTCTGCAGGCTTGGATACCTGTTTTTCCCACTTTATAACTACCTTGTTACCTTTATAGATATCCTTTAAAAGATTAGTGACTACATGTTCCACGCCTAGTGTGTCCACTAGTCCCCACAATTCCTCTTGAACCACGCTATCGTGCGCTCCCTCAATATCCAAAAATGCTAGCTACAGGGGCCTGTGCTCCTTTTCTGCTATTTCGATGCGCTGCGTCAGTTAGTAAACGGGACAACAGCGCTATGTGCGGCTAATGAACGCAAGAGTTTCATTTTCCGCTATCGACTCGGGCGCCACTTGACCGTGTAGGGTATATTGAAGAACTACTGCGAGTCTGCGATTCGTAAGCGCTGTTTTAGCGCTGTCGCAGTGTTTTGTGCGAGCAGAGTCGCTGAATCTGTTTTGTAACAGCCGTTTGTTTATATCAACGTAGCGCATTCGCGTCGGCAATTTGTATTTGTGCGAACTCATCCTCTCCGTTCAAGCATTCACTCCGCACTGTCGTAAATTTCTTCGGGACATCTCCGTGAGAAAATTCGATCGCTGCTATGCGCACCGCCCTGCTTTTCGCTACTAGGTTATGACATTCTGATTAGTGATCATCGATTCTCATAAGCTAGACTGAGTCGCCTACGGCCACAGTACGTCGCTTCCATTGCCCATCTTGCTCGGAACCAATGGAGGCAGGTAAGCGTCTTCGTGCGAGCGTTAGTGTTGCCACCATGTTCCAGCTGCGTGTTAACCGAAATCGTTGTGATGACTTCACATTTCTATAAACGGAATTAGTTTTGATGGCTGTACATGAACCTTGCAGAGCAATCTCCCGGTCATCATTGCGCACTTGGCTCAACGTAGCGCAGGTTTTGTGCGCGATTAGCCGCGATGTCATCAGGGAATCATGTACCTAGAAATACGTGAAATGATTGTTTCAGAACACTCCCTCCTTTTTCATTTCGAAACGCCGAGATCTGGATTTGGAGGCCTCCAAAGACCACATGATGTTTTTGCAGGGTTGCCACTGACTTTCGAATGAAATTCGCCAAAAACTAACAAATGTAGCCAGAAGTCGCCATTTTTTTTTTCAAATTTCGCCATAAAATGTCGCCATTTTTCATATGTGTGCCTTGCGTAGTAATTAAAATTTCTAATCATGTATAACCTCAACGAGTACGGCACCATCCATAAAACCTAAATTATATTGACGTTTATCAAAGCCAGTCAGATCACCTGCTTCACCATGGGTATACTGAAAAAGGGCATGCATGCACTAGCAGCGTCCCTGAATGTAGCGCCTCATAACAAAGCTTGTGATGGCTTCCGGTAATTAGCAAATGCAGGAGAAAGCTATGACTACAACAACAGGTGTATGGTTTGCATAGCTCTCCTGCAGAATTAGATAATTTCTTAGCCGTGAAATCATGTATTCAATAATCGAATATTTTAATTACGAAACAACGAATATAAATGTGGAAATATTGCGTAATTGTCGCAATCACTGCACAATGCTTTATGGGTGGTCGTACATACGCTGTACATTCTGCAATTTCTGAAGGCGGACTTGTTGGCCCACACGAATATACAAAATTAGGGGGTAGTACATCTGAGAAGAAGTCGACAAGCTGTTCAAGACAGTTAAAGCTGTGGTCGGAACACAAAGCCTTACCATCCCCTAGCCGCTTCAGAAGCGAAACTTTGATGAAGCTTATAGCTTTGAAAGCACCTAAAAAAGGTTGTATAATACCACCGTCTTGCTGCACGCGAAGCAGTCCACTGACCTAACCATTGCTGAGAAATTGCTGGCAGACGCACTGGTGTGCCAGTACCTCCTTAGGTGAATTGGGAGATAGCGATACACACGAGAAACAAGACAGACATAGTAAATTGTGCTTTAAGTGCACCTTGTACTGGTGGGTCTGAAACTACGAAAGAAACAGTTTTGTTGCCCATTTGTTTTGAAGGTACTGAGTATTGAAGTATAACTCAGTCAACACCTAAGCCGAAAGTCACCAAAAATTCGCCATGCCGCCATTCATGATTTTATGTCGTCACAGGCCTCTTATAGTTGTAAGAATAATTTCAACTTATATATGTAAAGACACTCTAGCACACAGATATACAAAATAAAAAGGACAAAAGATTGAAAGAAAAATAAAGAATAAAGAACAAAAAAATGAGAGGAAAAAAAACATCCCAACGGATGCGCTCAGCAAAGGGGAAGAAAACCCAACAAACGCTAGAGTTTTGCTGGAGTTACTGTATATGCTAGCATATACAGTAATTCCAAGTTTTGCGCACGCAGCGCCACCTGTTGACACAGTTTTGAGTAATGCAAAGCTTGACTCCCTTGCAGAGTTTGCTGCGCAATAAGGTGCAACTACAGCGTTAGAAACATTGATTGAGCTAAATATTAGGTCTATTTGTACATTGAACACTTAGAAAGCTACGAATTTTTCTCCACTGGTCGTACGCATCACTGAACCGCAGTGAAGTGCTTGCTAGTTCATTCACCAGAACGATGGTGAAAACAAGAGCAGACGCAATAGCTCTGTGCTCTACGGAAAATGACCCCCGTCGATGCAACTGTTGTGTTGTGAAATGCCACGGATGTAAAGGACTACAGTTTTACTGAATTCCCCAGCTTTTGCGAAGCAGCGCGGTGTGAACGCTGTAAACGGGCCGTTGCGAACGTGTTGGGTAAGCGAATTACTCGCATTCTTCACAGCCGTTTGAATAAAAAAGTGTGAAAATGTAGGTCTCTTGTTATTGTTTTGAGTTACTCTGACGGAGAACCGTGGTAACTGATTTAAACAGAGCCTCTGACCGCGGTGCACGCCGTGCAGCAGTAGACAGGTGACGAGAGTGATAAACATCGCACATGTCGCGACCACCGATAGTTTTGAGGTGTCGCCACCACATGGGGTTACGCACGTAGGGCTTTGAAGGCTCAAAGTTCTTCTGGCTTTAACTAGGAAATGCGAACACGTACGTCATACAGGTAAATCGCAAAATTATCGCGACCACAATCATGTTTTTCTTGCTGTTGGTCTCCGCTATTGCAGGAGCTATCTCGGAGGCCTCAGTTTTGCCTTTCATTGTACAGCGAGAAAGTGGACACGCATGTATCCCCACTATATAGCAATATATACAAGCGGATGACAACCGGCAAGATAACATTCTAGCATGCGTAATAAAACGGTACAACGCGCAGGAAGGGAGAGATCGATGGAGAAAGAACTGCAAAGGCGAAAATCACCAGGGCTATTCGTGCCGGATAAAGCAAGCTTCGTACCACTGATCGTGAGATAGATTCCTCGTGTATGCACTTCATGGCCTTGGAATCATGTGCATGTATAAGCTTAGGCATTACAGAACGCACGTCGGAGTGCTTTGGACTCGGATGTCCTGCGCTGCTCACTTGCTCTTAAATTGCCAGTTGCAGTACGCCGAAATAAATGAAACATCTTTCGCACTGTACCCGCAGTTTGTTTTGATGAGCTTCCTACTTTTCTGAAGCGAGGTTGGATTGAAGGAAGAAGCTTTCCAGTTACTTGATATTCATTAAACCGCATGTCAAGACCAATGAAAGAGGAGGGCCTATGCATGTTTTTTGCTTGCAAACGGCTCTCCTAGCACTATCCATTTATGGCCAGCGCATCGGTAGGGGTGCTGATGGCGGAATTTTTCGCAGTGTAGCCTGGGAAAAGTCTGACGTCAATTTCGTGAATGCCTGCTGATATGTAGCACTATTTGAATGAATTTGCAGGGCAAGGTCCTGTTCAGGATCGGGCTACGGGGGCAACTCCGAAGACGTCGCTTAGCTGCCGAACGTCCTCTACTAGCCGCATAAACACTGAATGCATCTCGCACCACTGGACCATCGAGAACTTCAGCAAGTGCCAGTTCTTCCAAAGCGGTACATTCTTCAGCGAAGAGTTCCCAAAGGATTCGTCACTGGTAAATAACCTGTGCTGTTGTCGATCTTGCATTAGTTTTGATGTAGTTTTGCATCTTGTGCTCAACGTAGCTCCACTACCGCAAAAGCTGAAGTAGGGCGTATTACGGGCAATCCAGCAATTGCCAATGCGGTGGCGCCATTTGGCACGGTGCGAGTATCAGTTGAATATTTTAGAAACATATTTTTGGTTATTTCTGTAATGAATATTTTTGTTATTTTAGACTTGGTTTATTTTGCACTGGTTTTGAGCATTGTTAGCCTTCTTTAGGCCAGTACTGACCATTGCTTGACTATGCAAAATCAGAGGGTGGATGGATGACAAGCTGGGCCCCTAAAATACTAGGCACTAAAAACAAACACGCCTTCTCTCGTGTTGTGCTATGCGACGTGTTTCTTTGTTTACTGGAGCACAAGTGTAGGTGTGCTTGGTGGCGTGCTAGGCAAAGCAGTCACTTCTGAGTGCGTGCAAACCTTGGACTGGCTTAAGTCAGCTCTATACTCATTGTGACGAAGGTTGTCAGTCAGTGCAACAGTACCTTCACAGTACCCTTAGGTTCAGTTCGATAGTGGTCATTCACTGTACACAGTCTATTTACTGTTCAATAACTGCACTGAAATTGCAATGTAATTCCACTGCATCACATGCTTAATCACAGGCGTATTTAATTTACTGTAAACTTGTAGGCATCCTGATATGTTGTGTGGTTCTGAACTAGCTAACTGGAAACTGTAAAGAACGGCGAAAAAAACACGGGACACAAAACAATGAAAACGCAAGGACGGGCGCTGGTCCTCGTGCTAACTACGAACCCACACCAACTCGCCTAACTGTCAGTGCTACCAACTAGAAAGCTTTATTGCTTGGTTTACTGGGATGGGCCCATAAGTCGTCAGACGTCGTCCCAGCTGGTCAGACATTTATGACTGAACTGTGACACAGGGTGTGCGCATAATCATGCCATCATATTGTGTAGTGTACAGATATATATACTATGTGAACAGATGATTGAACAATTTCAAAGCATCCTAACATAGCATTGCCCCAGTTTCATGCATGGCTGCTAAAGAGGTGTATGGCCACCAGGTTGGGAACAAATCTTTTGAATTTTAGCATTTTGAAAGTTTTATGTTTAATGTGTTATACTTTGCTCTGCCATGTTTATTACGTCTTTAAAACTATTCTAGCACATGGTAGAAATGCCTTGCCCCATTGTATCTCTGTGTTTTTTGTATATTGTGCAGACACTGATATAAGAGACAAATGGGTATAAGAGACACCAGTGTGCCTGCAATAAAATATGGGTTGGTAGAAAAATGCAGCCGAGATGCCGTTTATGAAAATTCCGCTGCTTATAAGAGACATCTCATATAAAAGACAAGAATTGCTGCTTGGAGCATGCCTTTTATGAAGGGGTTCATACAGAAGAAGGAAGGGCGATTCTCTCCCCACCTACAAGCGTTTCCTGTTGTCCACCTCCTATCACCAATTAGGGCAAATAAGTGGAACTAGTGTGAGCACAACTTAACTGTATTTATGCTTTGATGGTGTTTTTGTGATGATAGTTCAAAATTAGGGGTGCATAAAGCTTTGCCTTTAAGAATTGAACGCGATAGTGATATTCTATCCCTAGTGCATACTTCAAACTGTGCACGAAACCTTTTCGAAATCGCTATGCACCCACTAAGGGGCCTTAAGGGAATAGGTGCAGTAGCGTGTGCGCTGTCTGTAGTGGGTGACCGGCTTTAAACCATGAAATCATTATGATAATCGCATGTTCTGACGCCCAAGGGCCAAGGGGGCTTGATTGATTGATTGATATGTGGGGTTTAACGTCCCAAAACCACCATATGATTATGAGAGACGCCGTAGTGGAGGGCTCCGGGAATGTAGACCACCTGGGGTTCTTTAACGTGCATCCAAATCTGAGCACACGGGCCTACAACATTTCCGCCTCCATCGGAAATGCAGCCGCTGAAGCCGGGATTCGATCCTGCGATCTGCGGGTCAGCAGCCGAGTACCTTAGCCACTAGACCACTGCGGCGGGGCGGCTAAGGGCGCTTGTACCACGCAGTATTGCTGCAGTTGTATTGTGAAGCATGTATACAGGATGCATATGTTTGTAAAGCATGAAAGTTACTTTCACTGCATGTTAAAGCTAAGGAAGTTATTTTCACTGAATTCACAAGCAGATGCGTGGCTGTGCGGTAGAACATCCGCTTGCCACGCAAACGACCCGGGCTCAATCCCCACTCGGACCCAAACAACCCGGGTTCAATTCCCACTCTTACCCAGGATTTTTATTTATTTATTTTATTTGCATTGTTCTTGATTTTTCGGTCACACATAAGATGATGACTTTTTTTTCACAACCAGCGACGCTACTGGAATTTCTGTGATACGAGCCCTTTACCGCTATTGCGTTAATCCTTATGCATATCAAAAAAAAAAAAAAAAAAACCAGGACCCCCCACCCCTCTTTCCGGTTTTACTTCAAGTGACCACGTCCCTGCTAAAATGAGTGGCTGGATCCACTCTTGCATCACAAGCATAGTTGCCAACTGTGAGGGTGCTGGCATCTCCTTTAAAGTTGTTTGTGCCGCTTGACGCTCTTGTCTCCGTGCGGAAGTCATATTCTGGGGTCACAGCTATTGAGCAGTAGGTGGCGTTGTGTTCGCGGGCATTGATCGCCACTATCATCATCATGGTTGGATCGCTATGAGCGCTGGCCGTGACTACAGGCGGCATGGCTTGGTGGCGACGTGCGAGAAATAAACTGGTCTCTTTCTCTGGTGGTGTTTGGCGCAAACGGTGTGGCGCGAGCAGTGTGTCCCTGGTGCACGGCACCGTGGGCTGTCGGCCGGGGGCCATTGGGGTGAGTCAGACGTTGGCGATGCCGCCTTGCCTTTGTTATGTTATGTTGAGTGTTGTGTAATAATGCGTAAGGTTGTTTAGCGTGTGGATCACAGTTGATGTTATAATAATTCGGCTGACGATATCATCAATAAAAAGTAGTTAAATAAGTTTTTGGTTTGATCCGACTGCATCTGCTGTCTTTGTTCACTCCAAGAGCGTGGGGGCGATTACCACCTCTAGACCCCACGCACTGGCGCCCTTGGACCATCAGATGATAGTTTCCGCGGTTCGGTACAACCTTTTGGTTGAGCTGGGGTAGGTCTAAGGGGACTTAGGTAGAGTAGGCCTAGGGGGGACTTCTCATTGCTATAGCAACGGCGGTGTCCTTTGTTGAGAGCGAGGAGGTCGGTTGTTGTGGTGTGTTTGAACTGGTCAGCACAATGAGTATTTTTTAGGGGCGAAGCTCCTTAGGGCGTGGGCTGTGCGTCCCCTGTAGCCTGTATGTAGCCACCTCTAGTTTAGTTCTTGCAGTGTTCACTAGATGGCGGTACCGTCCCCTGTATGTAGCCACCTATAGTTTAGTTCTTGCAGTGTTCACTAGATGGCGGTACCGTCTCCTGTATGTAGCCACCTCTCGTTTAGTTCTTGTAGTGTTTACTAGATGGTGGTACTTGTAGCTGATGATGAAAAGATGCAAGATGTTATAAACTAGAAAGCGGTACTTGTAGTTGATGAAAGACGCGAGATCTTATAAAATAGGAATGATGTCACATATGGCGCGTGTCATTGGTTGAAGGCAATCGTTCGATTTAGTGCGGCGACGTACGCTAGGGGGAGCGTTGTAATAAAATCCGTTCGCTGTTGGCGCGCGCTCGGAGTCGCCGGAGAGGAAATGAATTCCAACGAATCCACAAACACAATGATCGAAGTCCCTTCGACCAGCGTCCCGCCCTGTCGCATACGTGTGTACGTGTTCCTCATTTAAGACACCCCCTCTCCTACAACCACCGTTAACCAATTTAGGCCCATCGACCCAAAGTAAGTCGCAATTTAACACCCCATTTCACAACTACGTTAAACCAATTTAGCCATCGAACCCAAGTAAAGTCCACTTTAAAAACCCCGTAACCAATTATATGGTCGCCAGCCTCCTCAGTGTTCCCGAGGGAAGCTGCGGGCAATTTTTTTTTCTGCACACAACAGTTTTTATTATTATTTTATTGTTGTTAGTTTTCAAGAATGTTGTTCAGTTGGTACGAGAGCCATGCGGTCTGCATCCTGGGGTGAGCATTGCAAAGCTTAGAGCACGTGGATTGTAGGCCAGACCCGAAGCGAGTGAGCACAGAAGCCTCGTGGGTGGTCTGATTTTCTGTAGATAGCTCCTTCCATCTCATCAGGCTCATGGAGCCGGGCGTCATTGCTGTCTTGTATTGCCGTCCGGGACTGTGGATGCTGATCGCTCGGTAAGCGGCTGTGTGCGGCGAGCGATAGGACCGCCTTGCAGAATGGATGTCTCCTTGCGGCTGTCCTCTTCTGCGCCTAGGCTCGGGTGCTGGGTGGATGCGGGTTGTTGTCGAGCGACTCATAAGGGGTAACGCATCAGCATCATTTGCTGATGAGCACGTACCACGCGGTTGGGAGCTGTCAGACCGCGCTTTGTTCCTCTACGCTTATGCACTCCATACGGCCCACGCAGCCCCCACGCGTGACATTCCACAATAGGAGCGCGAGGTCGAGACGAGGCCTAACGAGCGGCGCAACCCAGGGTGAGGACCACCTAATCGAGCCAGCGTGGCTTCCACGGTCCTTGCTATCGGTGCAGGCGCCCCAGGGCACATCGCCCACGAGATTGAGGCGACTTACGATAGAGCCGGCATGGTTTCCGCGGTCCCTGCTATCAGTGCGGTGCGCCGGGGCACATCGCCCGCGAATGCGACTGAACACCAGGTCAGGAGCGAACGCGCGATTCGGGAAACGGACGGTGCCGCCGGTGAACCACATCGGACACCGTGCAGCGATTAGTAGTTACACTGATGTGTTCCAATCACTTGCATCGTCAGTCTGTTGTGCAAGTGATGCCGTAGACTCGCCTGCACCGCTATCGAGTTAACGATAGCTCAAAAGAAGTTTGTAGCACTTTTGGA